AATCTTAAATTTTAACACTTGCCCCACCCGTCTTTTGACAGTCAAAATGAATTAATCTATGATGTTCCATTTTATGATAATATAGAGGTATGTAGATTGAGTAGAGAAGACTGGCCTGCAGCTGTTCCTCTGGTTAGAACACAATATAGGACAAATCGTCAATTTAAAGCGTTGTACGATTTCCCGCTAGACAGCGCTTGTGTGATTGGAGACAAACTATAAACAATTGGCGCCATTTAGAAACGTACGAAAATATGGAAATAGAGAAATTAATATACAAAAGTAGATGAGAAAAATACAGTTTTAATAGGAATGTTGAAGATGATTAGTTGTAGGTAAGTCCTTTTTTTTTATTTAACTAAATAGCAATAATAAATTGAACATATCGAATCACCTCCTCTTTTTGTTTTGACTAGCGTCATTTATTTTTAGCATATCGCGATATTCTCTCTTTCCGTCAGAGAAGTATATTTCTTCTTACAGACAAACGTATGTCTTCCTTATTCTATTTTAATACCTCTATGTTATAATATGCGGCAATTAACTTTCAACTTTCGCGCATAGCTAGCTAAATTGTGACGCTACTCTTTTTGCCTAATTTTACAGCCTTAGTTATGTGCCTCGTAGTGTATGAAACTAAACGTCTTCTATTTTTTTTATAAGCTTACATTGTCCTGTTTATTTCAGTTGTATTACAATTTTTGAATAACTCATAAGTTTAAGTTACAATTTTATTCGGTTATTTTTTATTAAGAATATTATTAATTGGCAAATGTCTAAATTTATTTTGGCATAGAATATAGTTTCTTTTTTTTAACTAAATGAATGCTGAGATGTAACATATATTTACGTCTTCTTGATATAGATGATATTTATATTTATTACGCGCTATCTAGTCTAACAGTATTAGCTGCAAATAATTTTTATTATACATAATAATAAATATTATATTAAAGCGACCAGCGTTGGAATTGACTCGAGTATGTGGAAATAATAATAGTATTTGATATGTGAATTGCGCAAAACATTCAGTACTAATTATTGCTTCTGAAAAATTGTAGTCTGTGATAGGTTTATATGTTAACTGTGATTTATTATGGTCAAACCAAGAGAATGATACCAAAGATTAGTATGTGAAAGGGCAGCAACACAAATGTATCTTTGACTAAAAATATAGTTCCATTGTAATTTAACATTACAGATTTGTCAATTAAATAAAACAACACAATAATTAATATCTCACCAGAAAAATATTGGATGATGATTGTCATAGAGAAACAAAGTATTTTCATATAATCTAGCTCGAAGGACCAGATATGGAAAAATCTATACAATTTATATGTAACGCGTTTCAATACTTGTCTTGCTGACCGCATAAAGTTTGAGTGTTGTATAATGGCTGTTGAAAATGTAACGGGTATGTACCTAGTATTTAGATGTTGTGACATATTGTTGAGGTTAAATCTGTCAAACAGGACTTTGCTGTTTTTGTAATATCATGCATGATGATGTTTCTTTATATGTAGTTCCTTAAATGTAAAAGCAATAATTTTTGTATTATAAGTAACTAATAGTTCACAAAATAAAGGAAGACATTCAAATTTAGCACTTATTTGCACGATAGGATGATATAGAGGCTCAGTTTTTTTAATCATAATGTTAATCTTTCTTAATTTTAATTATTATTATTACGAAGTGATTAACTTGTTATTGCATTCTATAGATTTTTCTACCTTCGTATACAAGACACCAGCAAACTGTTAAATCTGTCATTCGAAGCGAACTGTATAGCAAACTAGATATTTATTTCTGGGTTGCAACCGCTTAACTTTCTATCAATGTTTGTAGCAATAAGATACGACACCTTAGTGATATATCGTTTCATTTTACATATAATTTACTATCGACAAACGAATGAAAGAGAAAGATGATAATGGTTTTGATAACAGTGTTTCTTACTTACTCAATCACTTATCCCTAATTTATCCAGAAAAAGACATGTCAGAGTAGTAAAATGAAACGAAATATCGCCATAACATTCCAATAATGTCGTATCCAAAGCTAGAGTTGGGCGGTCGCACACCAGATAATAACTTATGTCCGTTTTCACTAAACTTAGGAGTCGCCTAAATATTTAGAAATCGCCTAAGATAAAAATGCATTTCGTTAATAACTAGAAACCACCTAACGAAATGAAGCAATGTCTAGTTATTATGTGGCGCCTTGCGCTAGGCATTTGCGTATATGACAGGTCATAAATATGTCAAGGAATAAAATAAAAAATATTTATTTGAAATGAAATTAATTTGCTTAGGCGATTCGTAATATTAGGCGTTTGCTAGTTAAACTTTGGTGTAGGTTAGTGAAAATGGATGTAAGTGTAACTACTTAAGCAGGGCCCGACCGATGCTGAAGCACCGCATCGTGAGATTAGCGTTAATCAATAAAAAAAAAGTCGGAGTGGCTATATAGGCTAGATCGGTTTCTAGCCTCAGGTACCAACTAGGGTTTTCAACCATGATATAGAGTTTTGTACAATATTTCGGGGCTTCGCACAACATACTGCTGAAGAAATATATAGTACCTAAAAATAATAATTTTAAATACCAAAATCTAACAAATAAATTTTATATTCTAATTTAAAAATGCTTAGAAAATTGTCCCTGGTACTCTGAGATCCCATCCCTTCTAAGAGTACCAGGGACAAAGTGGAAGCATTTTTCATTAATATTTTCCAGTACAGCATTGCAAATGCAAAATTAATCAAATATAATAAATAAATTTTACGTTTTAAATTTATGAATTGCCTTGCATTTAACTATTTTATAAGCTTATTTTAAAAAAATCTACTTAAATGTTTGTGGCCCTAGTATCAATTGAACTGGGAGATTTTACCGCTGATAAATTTTAATCATACATATTAATTTAAAATAAGATTGCACCTAATGTGTTTTCAATATATAACATTATAGAATCATGGATGTAAAATATTATAAGTTAAAACTGTTATAAGTAGACATAAGTAATTCCGCTGCCAATGCGTGATTGTGCTGACTTGCTACTTCAAAATGTGCGTAATTAGTAGGCTGGACGAATTTAAAAATGTAGATTGCCTTTGACTTTTATTTCATTTATATATATTGCTTCATCATTTTTATAAAACGCAAATTATTCCGTGAAATGTAAACGAGCGCGTAACACAGTTGGCGCGTTTTATTAAAATAAGTACGTAATAGTGCGATTTTGACTTGATGAAATTACGAAATGAGTTGCCTCATTGTTACCATTTTCAGAGTTACTTATGTCTAGTTAAAAAAAAACTTGAAGTACAAAATATCATCATGTCTTCACTGAGATTACAAAAAGTTCAAACAAATTCTACTATCATACATATTCACTCTACTCTTCGCGTCATTTAATGAAAGAATCTGTATTTTCCTATTTATATTTTTCAATTGAATATTTTAATATGATCTCATCTGAGCACTCATAAAAAAGCAGGGTTAATCTCTAAAAATAAATAAAATAATATTGCTTCAATTACTAGTTCTTGACGACGCTGGAAAGCTAATACGTAGTAATTTACTAAATCAAAATGGATATTTAGAATAGAAAATCTTCATATTTTTCCAAAAAAATTATTAGACTTAGAAACACCTTGTTTATTACCGAAAAAGGAAAGCTTTTCTGCTCTGAACAACAATTTTGGGTTTTGCGGGTCACTACGTGTTTGCTTTCCAGCATCGATATGTAGGATAAGATTTCAGTATATTTTACTTCTTAGGAGTTACACATATACTCATATTTGATATATTACAGTGATAGTCTATCTCTGAAAGAATGCACACTTGCTGTATTTTTTTAAATAATCTTAACATACGATATAGTAGAATCATGTTTATCAGTTACACCGATGTACCGGCGCATAAGTTTTAGTTTTGAAAGGCGCGAAATAATGTAAACCAATCGTAACATTCTACGTTGCGCGCGGGCAATGTTCGTTTGCTATAAGTTATTGGGTATGCGCCAAGCGGAGGCTTAAGCGAGAGTATGAGCCGCGACTAGCGGCTTAAATTTAAACCTTAATACATTGAAACTAAGTTGGTACTCGTATTCCATTCACTTGAAGATTGATACCTTCTGCACTGAGGAATTGTGCCGATGCTATTTATGAGCGTTTTAGTACCTATTATATTTAAAAAATAAATATAATAAATATGGAATCGCATCTCAGAGTACCAGGGACAAATATAATAATTTATTTGAGTATTAGAAAGGTACATTATTTCCGAGACATTATCATTTTGTTACCATAATACTTAATAATTGCAATCTTTCAGAAATGGCTACTGTTGTGCACTTAATATTAAGTAATTTGATCTACCATTAGTTTGACAGTAAAGTTACTGAAATCTATTCCATATAGCAACTCTTACAGCTGAGTATTCAAATGTCTTAGGATATATCAGTAGTTCAAGAATATGACAAACATAAAATAATATCTCACACAAAATGTGTAGAAATAAGAATTTTGCAATATTTGGCTGTAAGATTTCTAGCTTAGGCATTCTAGTAAGTTAGTGCATAATTATAGTAATTGTAATTTGCCAATCTTCACGGTCAGTAATTGACAATCTGCCATTTTTTACGTACCCATAGATTTTAATAAATATATTATTAAATGTATGTGTCACTACAAACTGTCTTTTTTTTTAATTTAATGGTATATGCTTTAGTTTCTGTAAATATCAAATGAAATACTCATGTCAGTTTGATCATTATATTTCAGTCACAAGTTGCAGTGTGAAATAAATGCCTTACTTAAAACTTAATTTAAAATTACATACAAAATTTGCAGTTTATTGCAACAAAGTATAGAATTTCAAGCATACTTATAATGGAAAAGGAGAATGTTTGTTATATTATTCACAATTAATCAGTTAATTGATTGACACTTATCATATACTGTAATTTTATCATAGGAAACTAAAAGTTTAATAGGTAAAAGTCTTAACAGTGATAAATGTCACATTTTCCTTAAAAATAACTTCTATTTGCCTGTTTTATAGTGGATGACCTAATAGTTTTATTTCACTTTTTACTTCATCATACAAATCCTTATAATCTTCGTGTTCTTTGATTAGCACCATGATGCATCCCCTCATAGTGCCCATAGCAGCTCCAATATCTTTACGACTAGGTGTGTAACAATATGGAACATCTTTTTCCTCACACACAGCTGGCAAGTGGCACATTATTTCTATGGGGGATATGTCTCCAGCAAAGAATACTATGCTGAAAAATAAAAAAGTTTGCATTAAGTATATAATTATTCTTCAAAAGCAAATAAATGTTGACTCGAGAACACTCAAAAATCTAAGTTGTTTTAGTCTTGTATATAATGTGACAGGTTATAAATTTAATAAAATGACAGTTTTTTTAACAGACAAATAGATGATGATAAAAGGCACTGAAAGGTCTAACAGCTCCCAAGTATGCTCTGTGAAAAGACAAAACGTATTAAGAACAGTGATTATTGTGAGATTTGTTGCAGTTTGTGCATGTGAATTAATGTGCAGCAGGACTTGCTGATACTGAAGTTGATAGATATCATAGTTTTTAAGTTACAGTCAGATATGGTTTTCGTTACTGTATTTGATAATTTTTACATTCACAAGTCTTTAGTATAATATTTATTTCATAAAGAACAATAGTTGCACATGACCAAAATAGAATTCAGACCCATATTCTTCCACAATGTAGCTGACAATTCTAACCAATGAGCTACTCAAGATTTAAGAGTGAGACAATATTGTTTGTTATTATATTTTCACCATAAAATGAAAATATTACTTCTACAAAAAGTAAATTGCTCAATAGTTAGTATCAAGTCTAAGAAACAACTCTAGTAATCACTCTCTTCTATCATTATTGCCCAACACCGCTGCAAAATTGAAAGCAAATAAAACAATGATATTCACAGATTCAATATCACAGTGACAATACACGCATTTTAGTCAATTTAATGGTATATATAAAGATTTTAAAAATACTATTTCTAAGAAACAAGCACCGGCATTTGTTTTTAAGGAAAGCTAACCTAAAAATTGAAGTCATTAATGGAAATAAGAACCCGGGAATCTGTAGTTAGGTAAAAATAAGTAAAATGGTCGTGCCAGACAGAGAGTTGATCAAGTGGTAATTTAATTACAATTATAATTGGTACTTATAATTCAAGAATAATTATTTTATAACCTCAATCGTATAACAACATACCCCTTTTCGCCTAGTCTTAGTTGCTTCTGTACTATTTTCAGTCCATTCCTTATGTAATTCTTATGACTACTTGATTTCTTTATGAGTTTGTATATCTTTTTACTTAGTTTTTTAGGTGCCATCGGTTTCGCTATCACGCTGCAGTGGCCGACTTTGTCATCGTAATTTTGTGGTTCTGTTTTAACGCTGACATCTCCTTGGTCTTCTTGCTCAACAGGTTCTTTTTTTACTTTGCCCATGTTGTATATTTAAATTCCTTATAACTAGTATTATTTTATACTTGAACACGTGCACTTTATACTTACAAACAATATTTTTTTAGTACTAATGACCACAGAACAATAATACTCTACAAACTAATGACAGCAACGATGACAAGAGTACAAGACCATAATAGCTGTGCAATGATATTTAAAAAATAAACATTAGTTCCCGAAGTCAAACAAGATGTCGCTACGATTTCTCCATGATAACTTTTCCGGTTTTCTTTTTTTTTTCTTCTTTTGGCGTCACACGGTTTGTGTATTTGCTGTGTCAAAGGTAGTTCGGTTTTCTTTTATGTGTAGATGTGGTAAAATAATTGACTATGGTTAGTAAATTAATTTTCATCTGATATCTAAGCTTCGAACTTTGCAAATTTCAGTTTTTTAATATGTCAGTTAAATGGAACGTAAATTACTATTTTTGGTCCATTCGTTTCCTGCAAATTTAACTTTTGCTGGTGTCGTCATTTAGTGGAGGTGCTTTTTAGTGCTTTCTTTTTTTTTAATACTTCCCCATTAAAAATGCTTTCAGCATAAGATGAATCGGTATTATATTCATAGTAGTTATGACAAAAGAAAGAATCGCCATCGTGTTACGTAATGTGTTGCCTGTGTAAGGCAGGGATACAGTTTATGTGATATTGTTTGCATTGGCTATTTTTTAATCATCCCCCTTTAAAAAAATTCTCGATAATTATTTGTAGGTTTGAGTTATTTTATTATTATGAACATATATTGTTTATATTTATAATATAAAGAGAATAGATTTTTTGTTTATTTCGTAGTTTTTAATAGATAAACTCTAAAACAGTACAAATTATTTTACAATTTTCACCAATGAATAGTGTGAATTTTAGGTACGAAGTTTAGGTTAAAGCTAGTGTATGTACGCACAAAATAAAAATTTCCATGTTCCTATTACAATTTAAATAATTTTTAATATTATAAGTACAAGATCATTTACTCCAATTTCCTTGGTGTGGCATACATCAAATTCTAATTTCCCTATTTGCCATGAAATTCTGGTAGGTCTATAACTCTTCTTGTTATGGAACTTAGACAAGCATCACAGCATATTATCTCTTTAGGTTTGAAGTCACCAACCAATTGTGAACTTTTATTAGCCAGTGTTTTTTTCTTATTTTATTTATCCTTTCTTTTATTTTTTGATATCCTTGGTTTCGTTTTTGGTGCAGTTTGACTTCTTTTTTGCTCTCGTAATCTTTTTGGGTTTTCTTTGGCAATCCTTTCTACTCCTTTTTTTCTGGTTTTTGACTGTAATTATATGTATAAAGTAATCAGACGTCAATGCAAATGGCAATCTTTTTACGTTCCGTTTTCCTTTTCGTTTTGGTGTAGATGGTTAAATCTTTAACAAATACTCTTTGAAATCTTCATCAAATACTCTTTGAAATCTTCATTAGCCAATTTTTTTATTTTTGAACTTGATTGTCCTGGATTTGGACTCTTTTCCGTGTAATCTAAACTGCTTTCATTAATAAAATCATTTTGTTTTTTCAGAATGCCAGTTAGCTCATCAAGAATAGTATCTGACTGATTATTCTGAGATGATTCTTGATGATCCTCTTCTAATTTAGATGTTTCATCTTCAACTTTTTGAGATTTAGCATCGTTAAATCGCACATTTTCGCTGCAAGTAGAGTAGATTTGACATTTTCTAAGGAATGTGTTTCTAAACTATCTGTTTGCGGTTGCACGATTTGATTAGTTGTAGAAGCTTTTTCGATTGTTATGTGTGTGATTTTACGTTATTTTCAGTGTTGTTGAGGGCTTTATGTCCAGAAGTATTTTTTTCATAAATTATGAATTAGTTTTAAGTTGTGATCCATACTCTCTAAAGTATCTTTGATAGCCATTTGGCACTGCTCAATAACATTATTTCCAGCGATATCAAAAAATTCTTTAAAACTTAAATTTCGCTCTACTACGTCTTATCTCTGAACTTCTTTTCTAGTAGCTAAGCACTTGCTATAATCAATATTATGTGGGTTGAAAGGGAAAAGGCCTGAAAACTATTGATCAATGAGCTACATATGTTTCATAGACTCCTTTAGTACGCGCTTTAATAAAGTGGCAAACGATTTCTTCGTTAAATTATTTTTGTAATTGTTGGTGGCATACTACTAATGCAACCATTTCTTTCAGCCTGCTTTAATTGGATAAAATGCTGCCACATCTGCAGGTTGTAAAATCCGAGTAGAGTTAGGATATATGACCCACACAGGATATATGACAAATAATATGGCCGGAAACGGAATGTTATGTAATATAAGGAAGAAAACGATCGGCAATGTAATCATGAAAGCAATAGATTACTAATGGGTGGCAACAGAAACCAGAACCTGAAAACGTAAGAGAAACAGTGATTTTTTCTTTAATTGATCCTTTCTCTATTTGGCATACATTCTTTTCACCTTTTCCTGTTTAGAACCTTGCCAGTTTTTGGGCAAATATTAAAACCTCTTTAATCAGCGTTAAAACCCTTCTTGGATCTTCGATGGCCTAATTTAGTCCCTCTTTGTTTATTTATTCTTGGATTTCTCGAAACCATTTACGGATATCATCTTCATACACATAAGTGCTAGCCCTAGATATTCCTTCTGAGGTCCGAGTAATTGTAATTGGCTGGTGTTTCAAGAATGCCTTAAATCCACGTTTAACGAAATCTAATTAAAAGGAACACAAAGCGTCTTCTTCAGTACTAGTAAAAATTGGGCCTGGACCAGACTTGAACTTGAGCTGTTAGGATTCTTAATTTTAAGCTGTATTGTACTTCTTGGCAACCCGTATTTTTTAGTTGCTTGCCGTACAGAAATTCTTTCTTTTCTTCTTTTTGCTTCCTCTTTTCTTGCTTCTCTTTTTTCTCTTCTCTTCTTTTCTTGCTATTAATCACATTGAAGTGGGTTTTTTCGAACCTGTTCGTAACAAATAATAAGCACGTTCATTAACATTAGAATTGAAAAATAGCCACCTATGTCAGTTACTAAAAATGACGTTAAAATAAAAAGATATTTTTACACATTAAATAAGTCCTGCGCTATTAATTTATAATCAGTTTGGTGAAACTAACTTTATTCCAAAATATCCAGTAACTGATATAGGTGGCCAATTAATGACTTATTTTTCACTTCAATAACTAGCCACCCCAAAGAACATTGTTCTTTACGGTTTTTAACTCAAATTTCAAACGTACAGAAAATTCCTCCCATAAATAGATTACACTAGAAAAAGACCAAACTATAAATTTCTGCAAGTTTTTAAAAAACATCAACTAAAAATTCAAAATTTCTTACTAATTTCTTAATAAACGATTGCATAGGAACAACCATGTCCGCCGACTGTCAAAATTGGACCAAAATAATTAGGTACAAAAGTGAACTAATATGAAAGATGTAATTCTATTAACTTTTCAGAGATTATAAAGAAATAATGTTCCAAGTAGCTAGTTACTAAAGGGCGGCCAATTACTTCTCAATTTACCCTACTTAAAATCGTTTCAACTGAATATTTATTAAGGCGCTGCATAAATATTAAGTTCTTACACTATAACGGTTGACAACAGCCGTCCACACGATTGACACCCAACAAAGTAATCTTGGCCGGTGCTCAGCAGGCCTATTCGTTAACTCGCTCAAATAACAACCTAAAGTTGGAATCGTCGTAAAATATGAGCAACTGCAGTGTGTCAAAGCCAAAGCGACTATAGTTTTACTTCGAAGTGATAGTCACCAAGCTATTTATCGCAAGGACGAGTAGCCTACAAAGCTCTGTGAACAATTTATTTCGGTTGTCGTCAGAAATTGCCAGAGTAACAGAATAAGGGGCAGGATGATAACCGTGTGGTCTACCAATGATGAAGAAAGTAGATAATTTGATGTTAGTGAGGTGGTATTACTAATGTCTATTACCAGTATAATATTGTAATCTTTGCTTCTTTCATTCTACGGGAATCCCATTCCCGTTGTCATGGATACGATAAGTTGTCAACAGTTTTATTTACTTGAGAAACTAATTAAATTATGAAACTATATTTTTCTAAACTCTAACAAAACGAGTACTTAACGTTCTTTAAAAATAACTACGATGGTATGTACTAGACGAATTCAATAGACATATTTAGTTGCAATCCAAGATCTAAAAATAATTCAGAAAATAACTTTTCTAGGGTTTATTAAGTATCCTGAAAAAACTACGTTCGAATCCTGATAAGGAACTTCGTCTTCTTCTTCTTGGCCTTGATAATGCCGGTAAGACTACGTTGTTGAAACAGTTGGCTTCAGAAGACGTAAATCATGTGACACCCACTGCTGGTTTCAATATAAAGTCTGTGTTATCCAATGGCTTCAAACTTAATGTATGGGACATCGGCGGTCAGCGAAAGATTAGGCCATATTGGAGAAACTATTTTGAAAATACTGATATTCTGGTAAGGTTCTTTTATGTACATATATACAATATTTTAACTCTATGGTCAGGATGACCTCAATTGGACAATAGTTAACGCGTCCAATTGATCTGGGTTAAGCAACTTGTTTGCGTAAATGATAGGATGGGTGACCAAAAATTATTATCTTGAGCTCTTCCATGTTTCAGAAGACATGTTGTTCATACCCACCACTATGACTCATCTTCCCTATTTGATGCCATCCATCAGGAAGATCTGTGACAATGAACTCTATGCTGTTTGGATGACAAATACTGGCAGTCTAAGGGCTTGTTCCCTTGATAAAATCTTAAATTGGGGTTGTACTTTCATATCTTTCTTATTTAGCTGGTGTCTTAGTTGGTGTTGGTGGGGTATGGGTGGGGGGGAGGGTGGCAAGTTGTTTGCGTTTCTGATGCTACTTTGCTTTGATGCTACTTTCTATCTCTTACAGTTTTAGAAGAATTTTCTAACAATTATTGACATTTATACTGCTTCAGATTAGGTCATATATTTAATACTACAATAAAAACAAATAATTCACCTGTAGGTTTGTAAAAATGTTCTGATTAGTTACTTGGTGTTCTTTTTGGTACTAAAAAGAAACTAGAGAGAATTGCTTTACTGTTTCAAATATTTTTACAGATTTATGTGGTGGACTGTTCAGATCATCAAAGACTGGAAGAAACAAGCCAGGAGTTAGCAGAGCTCTTGCAAGATGAAAAATTGCGTGCAGTACCTCTCTTGGTGTATGCTAATAAACAGGACTTGGAGACAGGTAATTAGTACAAAACTTCCTAATTATAAGAAAATAAACTCTTTTTGAACTTTTTTTGAACAAGATCAAGTCCAGAATGCAAGCAAAGATGACAATGTTAGATGATACTTTGATACCATTATAGTAAATGTTAATATAATATGTTCTAGAACATTCTCTCTTCACTTTTTCTTAGACAAATAATTTACTTTCCTATAGATCTGGATAACTGTGGCACCTTTGTTTCTCCGTATTTCCCAAATCTGACTAATATACTTATTATGTGATATCCTATTTCTTAATTTATTTCTTTCAGTTGTAGTTTATATCAGATATGGATGATGTATCTTGTTTCATTTATTTGAATCTGATAAATATATTCACTCATTTTCATCATAATTTACACAGTGCTACAAAAGTTCCACTAAATGCTCCTTTTATCATGACATTCATTATTTCCTTAAGGCTAATATATATTTTTTATTTAGTTTGTTTCATATTTACTAATTGGTATAAATATTTATTGATTACATTGATTGCAAAGACTATATTATAGACTGTGATAATACGCCGAGATTTCCTTAAAACGATTGGATAGTATAAATTTTATTGTTATTTTGTTTTAGCATTGCCAGCAAGTGAAGTGGCGCAAAATCTTGGTCTACATTTAATACGAGATAGAACATGGCAGATTCAATCTTGCGTCGCTACTGATGGCACTGGTGTTAAGGTAAGGCTTTAATCAAATAGTTATGAAAAAATACCAATAAATTTATTTTTATTTATTAATAATATGTTAATCCAGGCTGAGAATTATTCGTATACCAAATTTCATCATAATCTGTTCAGTAGTAGTGAATAAGTTACAAGCATCTTACCATCTGGGCTTACAAATTTTAACCTTTATAATATTAGTAAGATGTGATTTATCTGTTGGCTTTTTAAATAAGATTTAAAAATTCTAATTCACTTGTTTAGGAAGGTATGGAGTGGGTTTGCAAGAACATTCCAGTGAAGAAGTAAGTAAGTAGTGAACACATTTGAATAAGTGTTTGCACTTACAAATTTAATTCAAATTATCTAAGATGAAATGAGATCTTATGCATTAGCAATACGATTTATTTTAGGTTGTTGAATTGTAGTACAAACTTATTAATTTGTTTATCAAAGAAGGCTTAATCTTACTTAACTCAGCATTTATGGTGATCTCATTAATTTTAAAATTGCTGATATACAGTCCTTTGTCACAGATTTAATTTATTGTTGTGGATAGCAGAAATACATCAATTTAATATTTGAATGAGGCATTTCTATTTTCTGCTATGTAATACAATTTCTGTTTTCCCTTCCAATAATACCTAAGCCATTTTTCTGATTACATTTTAACACTTAACAGCTTACAAAAAGACAAAGTGTCAATATTTTGTAGTAATTGAAGTAATCAATTTTGAATTTAACTGTCAACCAATTGAAGTTTAACCAAGAATATAAATATAAAATCTTTCAGTTCTTACACTTCTTCAGTGTTATTAATAAACAAGCATTGGAGTAAATTTACGCTGAGACTGCACTTAGTATTAGTCAAAATTATATTATTAAACAGAGACTTAGCAAAGGTTCACCTAGTATGCGGTTCTACGGTATAATATGAATTTGGACTAATTCTAAAATTGCAATTTTGGCTCTCATGCTAAACCTTGTTTATAAAAAGCACTGCTTGGGTTTAACCAGACTGTTGACCGTTTTGTAGAACAACAAGCTTGACCAGGCTCGATCGCCTAACTAATATGCATTTTGGGATGAACTATTTTTTATTACTAGTTTCTCAATTGTAATGATTTTTGACTAAATTAAAATTTTATAAAAAGTCGAGCTAAGAAAACAAAGAAATCTTGAAAAGTGAAATAAGATAATTGATTAATATATTTGCTATCGCTTTGACTTTGGGTTAACTGGTTGGGCCTCTGACCTTGGGATATGTTTAGTTTTACAACTAATTTTAATGAGATAATTGGTTTTGTTAGTAAATTACAATTAATTTTAAGAAGTAGCTGAATGGTTATTTGTTTTTTGTTACATTCTGTATTATTGGTATATTTGTTATAGTAATCATGACTTAATATTATTTTAATGTAAAGAATCCGTCCATTGCTTCATTTAAGATTGACTATGGATATAAAACTATTTAAAAGCTAATAGTTATGTATTTTAATACATTATAATGTAAGAAATTTTTATACATTAATTTAAATTATGACTAGGAAATCTATATTAATATTATAAAACCGAAGAGTTTGTTTGTTTGTTTGTTTGAACGCGCTAATCTCAGAAACTACTGGTTCGAATTGAAAAAATATTTTTGTGTTGAATAGACCATTTATCGAGGAAGGCTTTAGGCTATACTATAACATCACGCTGCAACTATTAGGAGCGAAGAAATAGTGGAAAACGTGGACGAAGTCGCTGGAGGACACTATTACATAATGATAATTTAGACTTAAATTGTTAAAAGATAATATTTAGATCAAAGTAATGGCGCTTGCGCAAATATTTTTAGTTTGCTTCACAGATGTTAGTTTAATTAAATGATAATTATTTATGAAATTTTAAAAAGTAATTGCATTTCAATAAATATAAATATATAAAACTGTTTTCAAACAATAAATCATAACACAAATTAATTTAGTCATTTCTGTTCTAGTCAATGTTCTAAATGTTTGTTAAGAAGGCATGTTCGTTTCTTCCAATACGATTGAACAAAAATAAATAATATATTAATTCGAAGTCTTTTATTTCATTACTTATTTAAAGTACAACTTCTTAAATACTTAATATTAGAATAGATACAGAAACGCTGTATAGATATTTACATATATTCACAACCAAGTATAGAATTATGAAGAAAAAGGTAGAAAAGATTGTGGTGTGTCAACTTAATTGTAAATTAAGTAGCTATGTACGAGTCATCGTACTCATTTTATATTAATTGCGTCAGCTATTGTAATTTTGTTAATTTAAACAATTTAAGTTTAAATAGTTTAGTTTTAGTAATTACAAAGATATAATTTGTTGTTATTACTCTAAAATTACAAATGAATCGAGAAAGATTTTTTATTTATAGAGATAGTTCACAAGATGTCAGATAGATATTATTTGTTATTATTATATGTCAGATTATGCTTATAAGTGATGCTTATAAGTTTGAAAATAAATAAAAATATTATTTAGCACCAATGTCCAGCAAATCTAATCACCTATTTCATATAACATAAATGTTACTTTGCTAGTTGCATATATTTATTTAAATACTAACGTAAATAATATTGCAATAATATTAACTATATAACCTCATTAATGCTAATACATTATTTATTCACTTAATGTTTACTTGTATCACGAAATAAAATACATTAAGTACAAATAATTAGGACAGTCATCGAGATTTAGTTTACATACTATAATATGTATCTTATAATAAATAATTCATACTTTATTATTTAAGTACTGTATAAGTTATCCATATTTAATGCTATCCTACAACATAGACACCCTGGATTCGGGACGTAAAACAATATATTTCTGTTTCATAAAAAAATATTTGTATATTAAACGTAATCCAAAATTGTATTTGTTTATCTTATATATTATTTATGCTTTAAATAATCAATGGTTACCAAATATAAGTCTTATTAAAAATATATTATAATTCCGTGTGATAAACCTCTGTGGTCACCTTTTGTTCATGTTCGTGGAATGCTGCACAGTCAGCTGGATAAGCATCCTGAAAAAATATAAAAATATTAGTTAGACGTTAGGTAGTGTTTTCTTTTTAATATTAAATGGGTACTTGTCCTTTAATATACTCGCATTAGGGGTTAAAGTATGAAATTGCCGTTTTGTTGTAATAGTTTCCATAAATTGACATAGAATCTTCATGGTTTGAGGTTTTCGAAAGAAACTTTTTGCAGGTGGTTTCTATGATGTTCTTTTTTAAAAAATGTGAAACATTTGAATATCGACTTTCAATTGTTTTTGTTATTCAACTTAGAGAAGACGGTTGGATACCGTGAAAATTCGAGTGATTTTTGATACGAGTTTCGACGCAGAAGTAACGCGGCAGAAACAGCCCGCAATATCTGTGCTGCGTTTGGAGAGGTGTCTGCTAATGAACGCACCGTGCGATTTTGGTTTTAACGCTTTCGTGATGGAAATTTCGACTTGAATTACGATCCAAGAGGAAGACTGCCCACACATGTGAATAACGATGAATTAAGAGTGATTGTGGAAGCCGATCCTAGTCAAACTACCCAGGAATTAGCGGCATGGTTTAACGTTACCTTACCCACAATATTGACTCATTTGCATCAAATCAATAAAATAAAAAATAAGAAAAATGGGTGCCTCATGATTTGACTTATCTGCAGAAAGAGACGCGTGTTGAAACTTGTGTTGCCTTGTTGAATCGGTACAGAAATGAAGGAATATTGAATTGAATTGTGACATGTGATGAAAAGTGGAGTCTTTGTGATTAGTAGTACCATAATATAAAAATGCAAAGGCTGCCCCCATGTCAAACGCCATAACAGTGTCCTAAAGCAAAACTTACCAATAAAAAGGTAATGGTAACTGTTTGGTGGTCTCAGCATGGTGGTTTTTGTAGGTATATTGTGCCGAATTCCGAACAATGTTGGCAAAACTAGCAGTAAAACAGCTCTGACTCATGAATTGATCTTCACCATTATTGTTCCATGACAACGCGAGACCTCATACAGCACGAAAAAATTGATATGACCCTTTACGAACTGCACTTAGAAACCATTGTCATCCTCCGTATTCACCAGACCTTGCTCCAATGGAATACCAATTTTTCGTGATTTGGACAATTATCTAGGTGACAAGAGCTAGCAGTAAAACAGATCGACTCATGAATCGATCTTCACCATTATTGTTCCATGACAACGCGAGACCTCATACAGCACGAGAAACTTTTTTGACCCTTCAGGAACTGCACTTAGAAACCATTCGTCATCCTCCAGATTCACCAGACCTTACTCCAATAGACTACCAATTTTTCGTGATTTGGACAATTATCTACGTGACATGAAGTTTTCTTCCGAGGAGGCAGTACAAAATGCTTTCACACAGTTTGTGCAGTTTAGATCCTCAGAGTTCTATCGCAAGACATAAATGATCTTCCTATTAGATGGCAGCAATGTATAGATAATAATGGTAACTAATTGTTAAAAATTAAAAAAATAAACAATTTTGATTTTCAGTAAAATCGGCAATTTCATACTTCAACCCCTATTATTATTATTTAAAATGACATTAATTGGAACTAGATATTGTGATAAGACTGCAAAGGAAGAGGTATGTTTTTGGCGCGTATCTTATTTGTACGCATGTATGTAATATTCTTTATTTCCTCATATCTTCAGAACCGCTGAACGGATTTATGTAGGTACATATAGTTAGATTTGTCTTAGTAGCCCAAGTAATCTTGGATAGGTAACATCTGAAAATTAAATACTTATGGCGGCTGTGCGACGCATTGGTGGTATTTTTTTGTTTGAAAAATATAAATATGTAATAAAAATAATACAATCATAAAGCTAAAAAATATGAACTTTGTTCTTCCACTTTCTGAACCAACCTGGTAATTTGTCTAACTAAAAATAAATAAATAAAATTGTATCTAAAAATAAACAAACCCGCGCCAGCGTGAAACTTCTTGTTTTTCACGCAGACAGGTATTATTTTTTTATTATAATTTTATTTTATCAGTCGGCGATTAGACCATTCTGCCTGGAATTGTCGAAATTAAGTAGCTCACGCGATCAAACGACGCGCGTTGTCAAACGTACTCTAAAATAGAGTTGTACTCTATATTATGTAGGCGTACTCTTAATGTATAAATAGAGGACGGTAAATTCCCCTTTTTTACACAATACTTATTATACTTAATTTTATATGCGTGACTGGTCTGGATGTTATCGTGACTGGACGTGATCATAATCAAAAAATATCAAACAATGACAAAATTACCCTTTTAAAAATGTTAAATAACTAAAATTCTTTAATAAGTCCGTACTTCCTTTGAAAAAAGATAAATGTAGGTAAGTAAGTACTCTGTTTCTTCTAACGAAAGTTGGGATAATTCTAGGGTCATACACAGTTGTGATCGGACTACTGACGAGTTTCTGACAGTATTCTATCTATAACTTTAGTCAATCATTCCGGGCCCTAAAGCGTTAAGTTGATTTGCAGTAATTATCTGTCGTTGAGTTTTTAAACTTGTTTTTACAAACTCTTTATACCTCGCAATCGGCTTTGCTTTCTACAGCGTGGTAGAGATCCCAGAATCCTTTACCGTCTTGATAGCTCAGCGCAGCTGATGCGATGATACTGCTGATTTTCGTCAGACCTTCTTTAAGGCCGGGGAAGTCTGGAAGTAAAGGCGACTCATATTTAATAAATCCTCTTTATTAGTTAGTTAGACGATTATTAAATATATAAGTTAGTTAAATGTATACATATCAAAATATTTTGTATAAGGTAAACGAGACGCTGTTAACACCAGCCATTCCTCTTTTCGACTACAATATTGATTGGTAGAAAAAGAAATTCTATTTAGAAGGTGAGGGTTCGTTAATTCACAAATAAATATTTAGAAAATGTACAAAGGTGTGACTTCTACATTTTCTAAATACTTATCAATTACTGTGTGAATGTATTACGTTATTTATTAATTATAATTACGCAAAAAATCTAAAAATACGTGTTCAATATTTTTCAATAATCAATATCCGAAGGACAAACAAAACAAAAGTTAGTCATCATCCCTAGTGTAGGTACCTACTATGTAGTATAGTAGTGAAGTGTACTATTAGCTTGATACAAATACCAAGTTTCAGTATGGAGATCAACCATTAAAACATAACAGCTGTTTTTTTTATTATGAGGGTATCATATATTTCCTTTTTAATATATGAATTAATCCAACGACATTTTTTTTCGGATTATTGGTAAAAAAAAAAACCTTTAATTCCTCAATGGCATGATAAGCAAAATACATATAAAGTGACTTCTACGTATTTTCATGCTGTTACTTATGTTACTTCCATGAAATACATAAATCTTCCTAATATTATATTTGGAAACTCATATTTTAATATAACTCGGACAATAAATATTTAAAAAATATTTGTAAAAAATCAATAATATTAACAATGAAATACGAGTTCAATCGATATTATTATATTGCGTTAAGTATATTTTGTTTTGAATTCAATGAAAATATTGCATACCAATTTTGTGAACAAAAATATACCACGCAATATATGCAGCAGACTTTTGAGTTAAACACTACTAAAAATTATTAAAATCCACTCAGAAATACTTTAAATAAAAGTTTTATCATATTAAACTACTAAAAAAAAATTTAAAAATAAAGTTAATAAAAAAACTATTTTCTGTAAATTTTTTAGTTGGATTTCAGTAATTTTCATTATCGCTATTATAAATAAAAGCAAAATTTGTGAAAAAAGTTGTGTTAGTAATTTTGCGTGAAGGAAATGAAGGTTTTTTGAATTGATGTTTTTTATGCCTTCCGTAGCTAAAATAAGATGGATTCTTAAATATAGTCTCTTGTAATTGGCTCACAAACTTGATTAAAAATATTCCAGGCTTATATCGAATTATTTACGTTTTTCTCGTATTTGTATCTATCTGCTCGTATCTGATTGAGGTTAGTTTATATACGTATTTTACTATCAGCTGTGGTTTAAACTTACCTCTTTTGTCTTTTTCATTATGTTTGTTCACCAAGCACATGAGGTGTTCTTGGCAGTGAGGTGCTTGAATAGAATGTTTATAGGCCCTGTATACTCTAAGTACAGGTTCAATGACTTGGAGATTCAGGGTGTCTGTGAGGCGATCAGTAAGTGCGTTGTAATCATCGCGAGTCGCAAGGTTATGTGATGCAGTTTTCGCCATTTTTAGCATTTGCTGTGAACAAGATGGCGGTTAGGTGAAGTATAGTTTAAAGACATGTTTATTTAGGTAATAAAAAAGAACTTATTTGATATTATAAACTTGATCAAATATATAATTGGTTTTTATATAAAATTCAGTTACATAGTACCTAATAAGATGTTTTTTGATCTTGTGAAACAAGTATGAAAATTGGGACCGAATAATTTTTCTCAATGGGAATATCATAATATATCATTATTTGGATATTTTAGACATTCATAATTATGACGGATTATGTAAACAGTTATCAATGAAATAAAATAATAAAATATTAACGTACCCTTAAATAATCAACACCAGGTTTCACGTAAGCTGATACGTCAGTATCGATATCCATATACTTTTTCAATGCATAGTTGATGAGCCTTGTAATGGACATCTCTGGTTGTTTCATATCGAAGTGTATGCTATTCGGGAGCCCTTGTGCACTCAGGAATCCGTTGAGAATATATTGTGTTGTACCAAGATATCTGCAAAATGAAAGTAGGGAATTATCAAAACGAAATAAGTAAACTCCTAATTTTTATGTATAATTCAAACTAGCCTTAATATCTATTTCAAAATTTAAGTATGTCAGATATCCATGTATCTGTTTCTAACCTTATCTTTATGAAATTAGTACTCCAAGTCATGTGCGGATTGAGAATTATATTACAATACTTAAAACTGAGCACAACACTTTTTTCCGAATAAAATATTTATATGATTAAAAAAACAATAAAAACGAAAACGTGTTAGTGAAATGAAATACTTATGAATAACCACTAACTTTTGATAAACTTCCGGTTTCGACATCTGGATAAATGTGTCCGTCAGGTATTTTGTTGCCGTCTTGATCCAATGCCTTCTGAACGAATGATTCTCGAAACTCTTGAACATCATTTCGAAGCTCAATCTACCATCAGGGCCGGTAAAAGCTTTCGTCGCTTTTCTCAGTCCAGATTTTTCCCAGATAGTCTTCCCAAGTTCAGAATTGATGAATAGATCCCAATACAAATGGGCCTTCTCTAAATAGGGTGGTAGGAACGAAGAATGATCTCTATGCTCTATTGCGCGTTTATTAGTCTCTGGTTCAGAGAAAGAATTCATAGTGTTCATTATGATTGGCAGTAAACTGGCCACGTTTTGGTTTCCCAACAGTCCGGATGCAAGATTTAGAATACTTCCTAAATTGATATCGTTTTCCTCCTTATTTTGCTGCTTAACTTCCTCTTTATTTTGCTGTTTAACTTCTTCCTTAATTTGCCTCTTTTCTCTTTTAGGCTGATCATTATTAGCAGTTTGTTGACTAAACATCGATAACACGGAACCAATCAAAGCAGGATCTATTTTGCCGTCTTGCCCGCCTAGTAAACTACCGATTCCTGTAATAAATTAGGTTTAAATTTAGCGTTTAACTATAGGTAAGTATAGTTAAGTAGGTATCAGGTTCATTGCCTGTTATACGGATCGAGTATCCAATTTGATGTATCTTGAACATTGCCGAGTAATTTACGATGCTTTAGTTGTATTTAAGTTGGAAGCATTTTCTCAGCTGTGGAATATTTTGTTACTACGGCATTTAAAGGGAATGCCGCAGAATGCTTGAGAAATATTTGTGAAGAAATCTAATATCGAGATCGAGATTGTTTTCAATAACGCATTATGTAAAATGTGTTGCAATCTTGATGCATGAAATAAGATTTGAAATTCAAATATAATTATATAAGGCAAGACCTCCATTAAAACATAATTGATTTGAAAGTAGATATATAGAGTTATATCGATCAATTGATGCACAGAACTAATTTTGTTTACCCAAAAATTAAACTCGATTTGATAAGTCCTTAAGTTTACAAGATATTTTTAATATTTTTTCTAGTTATAAATAGATACTATTTTACCTGATAACACATCGCCGGCGTTATTTCCCGAATCCCCATTCTGTCCAAACATAGCACCCAGGTTTTTAGCATTATCACCTTGCATCAAAGCTCCCATGATACTTCCTAGAGCTCCCAACCCATTACCACCGTTGTCACCATTTCCCATATTTTGGAGGAAGGAAGATGCTAAATTTAATAATGGGTTATCCTCTTCTCCCCTAGTCCCCAAAATTGGTACAGTTGCAATCAGGCATAGTACCACCACAAGAAAATTCAGACGTGCCATGCTGAATCTGTAACAAAAAAAGGATTTCTAGTATTAACATTCTATAGCGTATAGCATCAAGTTTTATTATTATAGCCTCGTTTTACGAGGGTGTCGCAACTGTTGGCGTTTTTTTAGTAGGTAGCGTTAGCAGAATTAAATATATAAACGTGTTGTCATAAATGCGGATTTATTTTTGTAGTTCGTACGTGCGTTGTGAATAAATGATTCTTATTTAATTGTGAATGTTGATGGAATGTAACGCATTTAAGGATTTTTTTTCCGCTGACGGTAATTTTGTGAACCCGTCAAAGAGTAATTTTAAAATTGATGACGGGGAAAGTTTCTATTTACGTGCGATTTTACGTCTAAAATTTTAGAAAGAGTTTGTTATATTTTTTTAAATACAAAAATGTCGGTTTACCCATCATTAGTGAGCGGAGACTGGTGGCAGCTATATATATCCTACTCTCCTTTGGCTGTTCACAGAAGATGTGTTTAGCCTATTTAGCACTATATAGGCAGGCAATCGAACTTACTAGCAAGTATGCTCCTAATTACAAGGCAGCCTTCTTGTTTTCATAATGCCATAATGCCAACAATAGGTATGCGCTTAATTTTCTATACTCCATTCATTATAGCATTAGACACAAGTTAAATAAGGTTCTTTTTATGGTATACTTTGTGACAAAAGCATTGTGAATGCGACATTGATCAAATATAATAATTAGAACAAATTTTTCATCTTTATCGAAAGTTTAAATATTTGTAAAAATATTTCTTCTGGCTGTTTGGGTGGATTCCCTGAAAATTGGTGAGAATATGCTCTGTAGTAGCGAAGAAGTAACAAGTGCTTGGAAATTCGTAGGTCCTGTTAAGTCCTAGGCAGGATTCCCGATAAACATGAAGTGGATTTCGGGAGAGTTGATGAGAAATGCAAGGGATGGATTAAGGGGCGGAGAAGAAAGAAGAAGCGGAGGCAGCTTACGAAGCTATTCAGTATTTGAATGAGCTCTTTCGGGGCCCGTGGGGGTTGCTCGAGGGCAGTCTGTGTGGATCCTTCCAATTCGACAGGTTAGGACCGGGAATTCATAATTGCCAATTGTGCAGTTTGGCCGGTTTGCGCGCTGGTCGGGCATTGCACGCCCCTAGCCTGGACGTACTCCCAACCTGCAGAGGGACCTGCCCTTTTCAGGGCGGGCCGTAATGGGGGCGAACCGCACGGTGTATGGCCTTTGACCCCGATCCCGTGCATCGCCTGCCATGCGAGGGACATCGCTGGGTTTTAGTGGGTATACTCCTGCTCTTTGATTAGCCCCATTCTGGGCGGCTCCGCAGGGGGGAGCCCCACGGTTAGCCGCACTGGCGACCCGGGGCATGCAGTAATGCATTTCCCAGCGTAAAAAAAGGTCCCGGGCATCTTAGTGGTTAGAGCAGCGCCGGATTGTGAAATGTCATGGCTTCAAATCCCATCTTTTTAAGCATTTTTCATTACAATAAAGAACGTTAAAAGCTCATAACTAATAACCCGAGAAGAATGAAGCGTGGAAAAACGTTGACGTAATCTGACCCATGTTTCATGAAGATAGGTGATGTTTCGTGAACCAAACGTAACTACTTAACTCTATTGTGTTTTTGGATGAATAAAATACTTCAATTTTTATGGTAATATAATAAAATTCTAACAGTGTAATAAAACATATTCGTTTGAGTGAATGGAAACTTCTGTATTTTTTGCGTTACTTGCGTTAATTACTGACTGCTTTTTTTTCGATTTTATCGTTATTAGGTAATTTTATTGTTTGGTTAGGTTAAATTAGAACTGTGATCAGATTTCCTTGTTACCCTGAGTTACGTCACGTATACTCCAACTATTATACGTATATCGCGCTTGTTATAAGCGCAATATATATATAATTAGGTAAGTATAAAATAATAATAGGTATCTTTAAAAGAATAAGGCAAATCGATTCATGAAAAAAAAAACACCAATTTGAAAGGCTATAGATGGTTTCAAATTATTTCAAGGAATAAGTATTACTATATTTTTTTAATGTTTTTTAGCTTATCGCTTATTCAACTGTAAATTTGCTTAAGTAATCCATATCTTAAATACCTACTTACTTTGATTTTTCTAAAGTTCAACTCTAAATTATTAAGCAGCGGAACGAGTTTTATTTGGATTGTTTCATTGAATTTATCATCAAACTCTAGTCTCTTGTACCGAAACCATTTATTAATGTAATCATTCACTAATTGTGTATCTTGTTAACACCCGACTTCAGAGTGATGCTGTTTTGATTCCCAAAAGTTACGGAAACGTGACCACATCCTAAATGGCGCTGATTTGTGAAAGCTGATTAGTCATATAACCACTGTGATTCAAAGTTTGTATATCGAATTGGATTGCAGAAACACACCCCTCGTAGCTTTAAGTTGCTATCTAACATTTAAACTTCGTCATGTATTCACTCTTACTGATGATGATAATCGTGATTGTGTATTGGAAGATATTAGGAAACAGACGTGACTTTATTTTCGAATTTTATACAAATTTCTCTAGATAAAAAAAAAATGATATGATAGCGATGTCAAATATAAAATACGATAATTATGATCGCAAACAAGACTGTCAATGAGACAACACAGGCAGGCCGTTCCTACAAATCAGATTAAATATGGAAAATGGGTTAGCCTACTATGTGTTCCCAGTGCGGATTGCTGGGCGTCAACGTCAGACAGCTGAGAAAAACGCTCAAAGTGCTTTCCGAAGTGAGTAATTTGAGTTTAATTTCTGGTCGGTCTTTAAGAAAGTTGCTTAATCTTTGCGTCCTATACCGAAAATGCTAAGTAAAATGCTTGCGTTTGAACGCACGCGGTAAAAGTAGGTAAAACTATATCTGCAAACCCTCAAACGCAAAACCACATATATTGCGTGTGTTTGTTACCTGTTAAAGATAACTTTTATTTTTTTTAATACTTAATAAGTATTTTTATATATAGATCGGAATCACATCGGGATAGAGTAATCTAATTAATAATTTGTTGTGTCCCATTTGGAACATCGCTTTGGAATCGATCTAAACATCGAATAACTACAGAGATCGCAGCCAATTTGTAAAAGGGTAATCTAATCAGACACGAGAATCCCATTACGATTGCTGCAAATTTAATTGATCAAATGGTCCTTATAAAAATAAACACAGTTTAAAGTAGGTAACATACACTTTTTTAAACTTTGGCCGCGTAAAATGTACCTAGAAATTGCATAATTAAAAATCTTTTTACTATACATATTTTTCCCATATAGTATGCATAAACTTGTAATAAAATTTATGTGAGATGTTATTTAATATACTAATTATTTTCCCGCTTATTCGCTCTTGTAAATTATAGTCTATTTCACTCGCGTACTCGTATGATGTACCGTAGGTCCATGTAGTAAAGACTTTTTAAAAACTATGCAGGAAAATGCTTAATAAACCCACTTCGACCCTGGCACTCTGCGCCCGGACTTGAACCCATGACCTCCGAAATTACTGCAAATTTCGGAGCCTATTGGATGTAAACAGACAACTAAATCTGTATAATTTTCTTATAAATTATCTGTTATATAAATCATAAATGTAGCCAATGTTATTTGAAATAGGTATTTTTACTTATTAGCTATTCATATGCTAGAGTTACTGTTGATTATGCAATAAAAATGGTGTGTTGAAGTACGACCACAGTGTATATGCAAAGTACGTCATTTGAAAACCGTGTCATTTGCAAACTTATTCAGAATAGCGTCATCGGGAGTTCTACTTTTGAATCATTCGTTTGAAATCGTCTCGTGTCACACTCGACTTTTAAGGATATTGTAAGTCAAAACATGACGGTGTTTTTCGGAATTTCGGAATGGATCGCGTCGGTGGCAGTACCGACGAATAATTAACTTGAATCGGAATAATTAACTATAAAAAAATTTTAGCCAACGAGGCCAAAGGCTATTTATCCTTTAAGTGAGTAATAGAATAGAAAAAAGCATCAATATCAAAACAGATTCTTTTAACTGTTTAATACAGATTGCGAATATCTTCGTAAAAAAGCCGTGAGTTCTGTATAACCTCTTTTTTATAAAAATATCAGAACAAATATAATATTACGAAAATTAAGAAACCAGCGCTAAGTACTCTTCTCTAAGGTCTCAGCAATTTCGATTGGGGGTTATGGTAGTTTGCTTTCTATTTCCACAACACCCCTAACTTTTTAGCAACTTCGATGTAAACAATTACATTTATATTCTTTAATTACTCTTAGAGCCTGTGCAAACCGCGTTTTTAATAGTGCCGTCGACGCGCGTTTCTTACGATACAGACGAGACTGTACAGGCTGCTTATGACTCGCGTGCGTTTCTTGTTAATTCATTTAAATCTCTAATGATTTTAAATATAATGGGGTCACAGTCGATTTATTCTAAGTATGAGGAAGATGATGGTGAGTTAGTGGTTGATTAACAAAATGACAGTTAATTTTTTATACCAAAAAATTTTTTGTAGAAAATTGGCGGTTGTAAGTACAAGATGAATGCTTCATACATAGGGTCCTATTAAATGAGATTCAATTGCTCTGATCGAAGAAGAATAGTCTCGAAGCAAGCAGTATAGCGGCGTTAGATAGAAAAAAAACAGCATTTGCATCGTATTTTGAATTGCATGGTAATGCCAAGGCTTCTCGAAGACAGCGCTACGTGAAGTGGTTATGCATAATTCGGGTCACTGAACTAGCCTGCTTGTGTGACCAATTATCTAGCAATTTGCAGGAATTCCGGTCAACGTACACGCACAGTTGCACGATCGTGACTTTCGTAGAGACACTCCGCTTATGGTATTCTTTTAATAATAAAATCCTCATAAGTAATTAGGAATGATGACTGACTGTTTTTATTATGTCAATATAATTTGTACATAAATGATATACACCACAATTAAATATATTGCTTACATAAAATGTATGGTTCCTATGCTATTTTGACTATATGCAAAAATTGAAATATAAAGTAACCAGATATATTTATATTTTTTTGTTACTTAAAAATGAAAATGA